AAAACCATACTGCTCTGAATGCCAGAAGAGCATCAATAGATAAAACTATAAATGATCAAAGACAAAAGTTAATAACATAAATAAATGGCATAGAAATTGAGGGTTTAGTAGAAATTGAGGATCTAGCAATAATTTCACCAAAATTATGACATCCAGGTTTGTCTCTTCAGGAAGTAAATGTTCAGCTACTAGAGATTGGAACTTTATCTTAGGTAAAGCAAAGTTTCAGGATGGGTCAAGTGTTTAGGGCCACAGGGACAGATAGGAAAATTAAAACCTTATGTGGCTAGCATATTAATGAATTTATGGGGACATGATTTATTGCAACAATGAAAAACACAAATGAACATTCCTTCAATCTCAGAAACAAACTATAAAGTAAGGAATGCTTCTGAGAGAAATGTTAAAAGGTCACAAACCATTCTGTGGTGATATTTTGTTTATGATCCAACACATAAAGCTTGCCTGAAGATTAGAGTCCAGAGCTAACCACAGTGGTTAGCCATAGAGGCCTGACAGTGGTAGCCACACACCTTTAATCTCAGCACTCAGGAGACAAAGGAAGACATATCTCTGTTAGTTCAAGGCTACCTTGGGCTATCCAAACTCAACCAAGTCTAAAAGGGAATATAGACAAGCAGTGGTAGCTCACATCTTTAATCCCAGTACTTGGGAGTCACATGCCTTTACTTCCAGCACTAAGTAGGTGGAGACAGCAAAGGACCTGACTGGGCAGTGAGAGGAATATAAGGCAGGCAGGAGGAGACAGGAGCTCATTGATGTCTGAGGATGCAGTCTGAGGACAGGATCACCCCTCTGGTCAAAGCCCTAGTAGAGGTAAAGAACTCTAGTGGCTGGCCACTCTTCTTCTCTGATTCTTCAGCTTTCACCCCATTCTAGCTGACTCCAAATTTTTATTATTAAGAACAACAACAGAAATAATATAATTAGTCCTCCCAGGATTTGACCATTATATCAATTGGCTCAGGGTCCTCTAAAGGTACTGTTGCCCCCAGACAACATGAAGTAATTTTAAGATGATGACACTCACATTCCCAAGAGGTGGCATGGGAGGTTTTGGTCGTTTGTTGTGTTATGAAGGTTTGTCTCACTTGGGGGGTTGGTTGCAAATTGCTAGTGGTCATGGTAAGGGAGGAAACTAAGAAGGAAGGCTGGCTTCAGATATCTGTTTCTGAGGGAAAAAAGGGAGACTATGTAAAGGATAGGATAAAAGGGTAAATTGTTGACTCTACTATAAACTAAAAGGCAGCTATTAAGCTCAAATATTTTACATTGGTATGGATTTTAGTATATTGATGTAAATTTATGGTTATTTTTTGTTATATGGTGCTATCTCTCTCTCTCTCTCTATATATATATATATGCATATATATGCATATATATGTTTCTACACTTGCTTAAGGGATTTTTGTATATTGATACAAAGTTAAGGTTATTTTTGTTATAGCGTACTGTTTAGGGGACCCAAGAGCCAATGGCTTTTTTTTTTTTTTTTTGACATGGACCTAGAAACTCCACAGAGTTATGACTGTAAGCATAGCTCCCACCAATATCTCCACCATGCCATGAAGCTAGAGGCCCAGGAAGCCAAGGAATAGGGTGGGACCAGCCATCACCACACCTTACCTCCCTAGTGTCTTGGCAGACAAGATAGCTAGTTCTTGTTTTTCTCTGCTATTACCCTGTTTCTTCCCAGCTACCTCACTTCCTGTCTGTCTGTACAGACCTCCAGACCTCTATGGTTAGCTAGTGGCAAGCTCCATTCTTTGACATTTACACAGGCTTAATTTGTACAAGCAAGTTATCACCACATCTGTCAGGGATTATCTTTTTTATGTTATGTGGATTTGGTGGGAAGACTCATCCACTGTGGGTGACACCATTCTGTAGGCAAGAGGATCCTGGACTGTATTAAGAGTGGAGAAAGGGAGCTGAGTGCCAGCATGCCCCCATTGATTCTGAATAGGAGCGAATAATGGAAATGACAGGAGCTATAATGTGGCTGACATGGAAGACAGGACTTTGGGCCTATTAAGAATCTCAGATCAAGAGCCAGTGACAACACAGTAACTGAAACTTAGAGCAAAAAATTCATGGTGTAGTAATGGCCCTTGTTTACAATATAGGGAACCAGACATTGAAGGACAAAGAAGATGGTTGTAACACAAATAATAAAATCCCAGAGACTGGGTTCAAGCTGAAGATCAGAAAAGCAAAGCAGCCAGGCAGTAGCTCTTACATCTACCGTGGCTGAAATGGAGATCCTGTCTTTCCTGTGACTGGAAACTGAATCTCACATGAGATCCTCTTCTTCCTTATACACCTCTCTAGTGCTGGGATTAAAGGTGTGAGCCTTGTTACTCCTTTAGACTGATTCACTCCCATGTGGCTCAGGGTGGTCTTGGACTCACAGAGATCTATCTGCCTTTGTCTTCTGAGTCCTGGGATTAAAGGAAAACTAGTGTGGCTAGCTTTGCATTCTGATCCCCAGGCAAGCTTTATTAAACCATAAACAATATATCACCACAGTCTGTTAGAAGTAGAGAAAACATAAAACTATTGTCCAGTTATCTGTAAAGCAGTATATATTGTTTAAATGCTTTCATATTTAATTGAATTTTTTATATTCAAATCAACATGAATATATTATTTGAGTTTTGGAAAATCTAGAAAGCTAAACGAAAACAAGATCCTCTGAATTCTTATAATCTAGGACAATCACATAGTAAATGTTACTGTTATGTCTATGTCCCTTTTTCCACTATGACACATGCAGGAAGTCAGCTAAGCTTGAATAGGGCTGCAATCTATTTGGCAATTATGGGAATTCATTTGTTTTCCAAGAGGATTCCTTGAAATTTACCCTAGTGTGACATTCAAGGGAGGTGTCTGTGTTCTTATCTTTCTAGGGGGACCCAAAGAAGGATGCAGGGCACTTTGCTCAACTTGGGGCTCACATGGTAGACATGTTCTTGCATAAGTACATTTGCCAAAAGCTCATCCTAATGTAACCATAAAAGTGGAACATTATGTTGTGTGAAAATTATGTCCTATTTAGTTTGATAAAATAAAAAAGTAAGGACAGAATTCACCACTATGACTATGATGAACAGGAAGAATAAAGCTTAGCTGATGATACAGGTAAGTGGAATCAGGAAGAAAATACTGGGGTGGGAGACTACTGACTTTCCCTTTATACAATACAAGAATCCTTGTGTTCATCGTGTGACATGCATCAGTGTTTTCCTTAATTTAAAGGCCAAGAGGGACTTGGAAGGTGGAGAAGTAGGAGTGTGGTGTGAGGAGGAAGGGCTCTGGATACAGTTTAATGTCAGAGGTTTACCATGGCATGAGTTCTCTTGGGATTTCATAAAGAGGCAACATTGCAGATGTCAGCCATCCAAGAGCTTGTTGGTCTAGGACTTACCTACAGTACCATAGAGGAGGGAATCCTGCTCCTATGGTCCACTGGTCCTTTGAACAGGAGTCTTTTCTTGAAGGAGGAGCTTCTCACACTACAAGTGCTGTAGGACTTCTCCCACAGGAAGTACTATTCCTATTTGGACTCCTTTCTCCTGCATTGAGGATATGGACTAAACAGGGACAGGTGAATTTCAAGACCATCTTAAAATTGGAGATGAAGGGAATAGAAACTCTCACTTGATCTTGATCTATGCAGTTTAATCATAATTTGATGATATGTTACGGTGGTTTGGAAGTTTGGATTTCTAGATAGGGATACATTCTGTAACCAGGATGATTGCTTGGATGACAAGGACTGATGAGAAAGGAGGGGAAGGTGGCTTACTCATGTTCTTAAAATTGGATTGAAAATTAAAGTAATTCTGCTTGCTTTTTTAAAATTTGAAGGTTGTCCTCCTTTACTAACTAATAATCCTTTAAATTCAATACATCACTAATCTTAGTGTTCATGGAGTCCCTTTCCCTGAGAAGTAACAGTTGATCCTTCTAGGGAACATCATTTCTCTGGGAGGTGTAACCCAACTTTTTAAGATGATAAGTTTTGAAAACCAACAGTATGAAAGAACTTTGCTGCCACCTAATGGAGAAGAGACGTATATTCATTAATCAGTAAGTAATTTCCTCCATTATACAGGGACATCCATATGTAACTATCATCATAACATAAATACACTTGAATTGAAAATCAACGTTGATTTATATTAATTTCAATTGTATTCATGTTTATGTGATACACACACATACACTTTCATTTCAGCAACGTTGTGGCTATGGGGAATATGCATTTTGATTATACTTCTTGTATTTGCATTTTTAGGCAGGGTCTTGCCCAGATGGCCTTGAACTGCTTCTAAAACTCGGTAGTTACTTAAGGGAAACACCATGCCTGTTTATTTCTGTATTATTATTATTATTTGGTCTTTTTCAACTTCACTGAATTTGAATTTGATAAAGGCTTCGTGATCTAGTAGATGATTCATAGATGTTAATCTATTTTGTTTAAAGTACTTTAGGAAATTCTAATAGACTGTGAGTGAGATGAAGATGTAGCTACAATAAGAGGGGATACTGTGCTGGTAGAAAACATAGGAAAATTACAACCATGCATGACAGACATGGAACATACTGTGCTGGTAGAAAACATAGGAAAATTACAACCATGCATGACAGACATGGAACATACTGTGCTGGTAGAAAACATAGGAAAATTACAACCATGCATGACAGACATGGAACGTCTGTATGTGCTTGTTCATGTATGTGTATTTACCATTAAGATAACAAATTATTCAAGATTTATTTTTTTCTGCTTTAAAATTGTAATTATTTAAAGCACTGGTATTGACCCCCTTTCCCTCACAGGCGAATAATTCTTGGCAGGTGTCAGAGTTAGTCAATACTTTTAGATTTAAAAAAATCTGACTTTATAAACTCCAGAAGACAGAAGAAAGGGATGGAGGGGCAGTTCTGGAATACAGGGGCAGTTCTGGGATATTGGGGCAGTTTGTCGGGGCCCATTAAATGCCTTCACTTCATCTTGGCTTAAGGTCAGAGAATTCAAAACTATGCTTACTCTTCCAAGGTTAGAATCATAAGACCTAAAAGTCTAAGGCATGGCTGCTGTATGATGTTTGGTCTTGGTCATGGATGTCTTATCTAAATAACAAGAGCCTGGGTCTGAGGTGTGGTTACTTTTAACCCTCAAGTCCAGGTAATGAGAGGTTTAGTCTAAGGTAAGGTTACTAAATGTTTGGAAAATTAAGAAGAAAAATCTTTTTCTTATGTTGTGATGAAGAGGTCTGCCATTTTCCCCTTTTGGGTTTGGTTATATTAGAATGTTGAAGAATAAACTTGGGGTGTTCAAGTATTCATTGAACTGCCCTCCCGACCCTATTCTGTGTCTGTCTTTTTCTTAGTATCTTTACCGGCCGTTTCTCAACCCACACTCCCCATCTCAGGTACAAACCGGGCAAGTCGCTGGACCGAAGCCCCCAAAGATGGGTTACTACACAAGTTCTGGGATAAGGGGGCAGTTCTGCTATGCAGATGTACTTCTTGGACACAACAAGTTATGGAACACCGGGGTAGTCAGACCCTGCCTCTGGTAATGTGGGCCACGAGTCGTGATAACAAAGAATGGCCCTACTCCAAGGGAAATGCAGTGCAGCACCAGGGACCACAAAGGGAATGATAGGACAGCTGAGAAGTGTGGAGAAACAGAATCAGCCAAAGAAGTGAGCAGCGAGCAGCCCCAGGAGCACTGGGAAAGACAGATGGCTCACACTGAAGATAAGCCTGCCTGCCCTGGTGGAGGCGGTTAGCAGCTCTGCCAGGACCACTCAGCCACAGACAACTCTCTCCAGTCTGTATGCTCCTGGGACTTCTGGAAAGACAGAGATTTCCTTGGCCTGAGCAACAATGGAGCTGAGGGGTATTTTGTCACTCACAGGACTTGGAGCGCTGTGGCTAAGCACGGTCTGAGAACAAATCTATTAAGACCAAGCTACCCTGGGGACCTGGTTTTAAAAAGAAAAAGAAAAGAAAAGTGGCAGTGTGAGGAGGGGGCCGGTTGTTGACCACCGTAGTGAGAGGCTTGCAAGGCCTCTGGGAGTTGACATCACCTGAGAATGACTATGGAGTCTGATCGCCTTGGAGTGAAGACAACTCTGGTAGACTCCTGGTATTTGCAGTCGGGCTGGTACTGACCTAAACCACAGGGCTACAGATGTGCTGGCTCAACCACCGCCTCCACTCCAATCTTGTGCTTACTTGTAATCTTCAATGTTGGTGGACTCAGGAAGAAGCCTCTCCAATGCTTTGCATTCATTCTCCATTTTTTTTTTTTCTTTTAGCTGTGCTTGTAATGAATTCTGGCTTAGGTTTTTGTTTGTTTTGTTTTTCAGACAAGATTTCAGGTAGCTCAGGCTGGCTTAAAACTTGCTTGAACTCTTAATCCTTCTGCCTCCACATCTGGAATTCTGGGATTACAAATGTGCAACCCCACATCCAACATAAAACTTCACTTTGGTTTTTAAGGGCATGCTCAATATCATTACACTTCTGATTTGGCTTCTGTATTTCTTCAATATTGTTTGATCTGTTTCTTCCTCTCTTTTTCATTCTTATATTTTTTTTTTTTGCTCTTTGGATTCTTAAGATTATTTCATTATTTCCCCTTGTCCATTCCACCCATGTACACAGATGCACTCTTTCAAATTCATGGCCTCTCTTATTTAATTGTTGTCATTGAGGGGTGTGTGTGTGTGTGTATTCCTAAATACATAAACATAACCATTGCGTCTGCACAGTGTCACATGTATGTAATTGCTTTCAGAGCTGACCTCCTGGTGTTGAATGATCACTTGGTGTGCTCTTTACAATTGTTCTTTTCCCTGTATTTTGTTTAACCTTCCTTCTCTGTTTGTTCCCTTCTCTGTCTCTATCGTTTATCTCATTCATTCACTGTTTCTGCACTTACCTTAAATTTTAATTTCATAGTACATACATAGCTTTGCCATTTTCTCTTTTAGGGTTATCTTATGGTGTCTTTGTGGAGCTTTGATAAATAATTTTTTATAAGCATGGTTCTAAGTATATCTCTGTATATTGTTGTTTCCTTTGGTGTTGCTGCTGTTAAAGCAAATTGTTTTCTCCTCTGTACACCTACTGGAGATGGAGTCTTTGAGATCAGAATTCACCCATGTAAAACATGAAGAAATGTGCAAAGAACACACAGAAATGCAACAATGATAAATGTAGCATGACTCCTCTGATAGATCATTACTCCTCGATTCCTGAGTCCAAAAGTACTAGATGAGGGAAAAGGGCAAATGGCAACTCAGAAGTTCACTTGTACAGGTGATCAGCATCTTGATAGATGATTAAGAACAAGTAGATGGATGAAGTAAGGATCTAGAAATGAAAGCCACATGGATGCAAATCAAAGACCTGATATATGAAAAATAATAAAATGTTGGAAATGACTTAGTAAATTTAAAAAAAAATGTAGTGAAAAGTGACATCAATGGACTTGACAAATTATAAGGAAATCTCTGAAGGATGGAGAAAAAAACTAGTGCATAGTCTAAATTCAGGCACCAATAAAGAACAATTAATAGGTGGAGTGTGGCCACATTTTCTAAGAACTCTAGGATGTGATAAAGAGATAAAAACTAGGAAATATAATAGAAGGATAAGTTATCAAAACATAAGGTATATAAAACCTACCTATTGAAATTATAGCAGAAAACTTCCCAAATCAGGAAAAGAAAATGCCCATACAGAAGAGATATTTAGAAGTCCAAATAGACATGGCCCTAGAAGAACTACTTATGCTACATTATAGTTAAGACAATAGAAGTATAAAACCAAGAAAAAATAAGCACAATTGAAAATGAGAAGAGAAAGCTATCAGGCCACTCACAAGGCAAACATCCAGAATAAGATCAACCCTACCAACAAAAATGACAGAGGTCAGGACTGCTATATTTCTGGTCCTGAAAACAAATCATTGCCAACTACACTGTTAAATACAACAAAATTATCTTCATCTTTTTAAAGTGATGCAGAAATGAGCACATTTGGGACAAGCACATTTGCAACAGCATCTTCATTCTGCTGCTTCAGAGAGCAGAAAACCCCCTATGTTCTGTTTCCCAAGTTGGAATCTTAGCTGGGTGGAGTCTTTCCCTTTGTTCCAGTGCAGAGCAGGCATCTACTTAGTGTTATAGCTCCTCTCTCTGCAGTAGCTTTAGCTATTGCATGAATTTTCACAGGGCCTTTTTTTTTCTTTTTAACTGTTTATTGATTCTCTGTGGCTTTCACACCATTCATCTTTATTCCATCTGTCTTAGTTAAGATTTCTATTGCTGTGAAGAGACACCACGACCATAGTACCTCTCATAAAAGAAAAACATTTAGTTGGGGCTGGTTTACAGTTTCCAAGGTTTAGTCCATTATTATTATGGTTTGGCATGACAGTGTGCAGCCAGACATGGTGCTGGAGAAGGAGCTAAGGTTAGAGAAGGAATTGTAGCTTATCCTGCAGAGGAAAGGAAGTGGTCTGAGACACTGGGTGTGGCTTGAACATGTATGAGACCTCAGTCCACCCCCACGGTGACAGACTTTCTCCAACAAGGCCACACCTACTCTAACAAAGCTACACCTACTAATAATGCCATTCCCTATGTGTTTATGGGGCTAATTACATTCAAACTATCACACCACCTAGTTCCCTGTCCCTTAGCATCTACCCTCTACTCCTATAACATCATACCCAGAATAAAATGAAATAAAATTTAAAAGAAAGGAAAAAAAGAAGAAAGGAAGAAAGAAAGAAAAACAAGAGAAAGGAGAGAGGAAAAGAGGAAAAAATATCATGGAAGCTATAACATGACACTGAGTCACACAGCATATCCTTTGTCCATATATCATTACTTGCAAGAGTCATTGGTCTGGTTCAAGACTTCTGGTTTCTGCTACACTATTAGTACTGGGCCCTTCCTGGGACTCATCTTGGATATCTTGTTTTTGTCCTGTGATTTGGAGATCCTCCAGTTTGGGATCTGCAGGACTCATGTACTATACAGATGCTAGATGGTGTGGATGTTGCGTGGGACCAACTCACAGCCATTGTTCTTGACCTGAGTGGTAGCTCTCCTTCATAACTCATCACCAGGGTGAGCACTCCAGCACTGCCCTGGCTAGTTCCCTCTGGGCAGTAACCCACAAGTGGTGGGGCTGATTCTCCTGCTCACCCACTCCTTTGTCACCAGGGCCCGCTTTCCTGAGTGCTGCACATGGGGCGAGGCAGGGTCAGCTCTCTTGCCTGCCACAGGTGGTGAAGGGTGAGGGGACAGGGCATCTTTCCCTTTAAGCATACCACCCCATGGCCAATTGAGGGGATGGGACCAACTCTCCCACCCTCAGGGCCAACGTGGCCATGCCCCCACAAACAGAGTTAGCTCTATTGCTATTGTGCTGCCCAGGCAAGGTACACCACATGTTCTCCTAAGTGCTTCACTGGGTGGTGGAGGGCAGGACCAGTTATCCCTAGCATTGCAACCAGTGAGGGGCAGGGCCAGCACTGCAGCCCTGTCCTCTTGGTCTTCAGTGGTAAGAGAAGCTATGACATCAACACAGACCACAGCTGATACAGGGCCACAGACCTATACGTGATCCTTGGCAGAAATCCAGGCCCGGATATCATCATGGTCCCAGCTGGCAAGCAGGCTACCCACTCCTCATTGCCTTCACCCCTTCAGATCTGCCTGTCTCCACAGAACAAGAACCATTGTGTGTCTCTCCCCATATCTCATCTCATATCTGCTCACTATAATAGTGCCTGACCACCCAGTGCTGCAAGGTACTGGGGAGGCCCATGTTTTCTTCTAAATGCCCTGGGCCGGGGTGTGGGTCTCCTTCCCCTAATCAGCCTCAATGGTCCTCAGTTCCCTTTTCTCACCAGACTGAACACTATTTCTTCCCTTGCAGTTTGGTCATTTTTGTTGTAGATCAATGGAAGAGTTATTAGTAATAAGGATTCTAC